GTCCTTCAGTTGGAGCATTTAAACAATCTACATTTAAAGTAATTATTCCATGGCTAATTCATTTCAATGTATGACAAAAACCACTTCAATGTTGTAAAGTAATTAGCCTCCAAATAATAAAAATAAATGGAAGAAAAATAAAAATTAAAACTAAAATATAGTACTTTCTAAAAAAAATAAATAAAATAGAAATATTAAAAAAAATAAAAAATAAAGTAATTATTGATATATATGTTCCTATTCCATTTTCTTAATTGTTTTGGGTTGATTTTGTAGATCTTTTTTCTTCTCTTCTATTTCTTGACTATGTAAGTCCCTTTAACATTTGTTGTAAAGCTGGTTTGGTGGTACTGAATTCTCTTAATTTTTTCTTGTCTGAAAAGCTTTTTTTGTTTCTTCATCAATATTGAATGAATTATTTGCTGGTACAATAGTCTTGGTTGTAGATCTTCCCCTTTCAGTATTTTAAATATATCCTGCCATTCCCTTCTGGCCTGTGGAGTTTCTGCTGAAAGATCAGCTCTTGAACATGTGGGATTTCCCCTATATGTTACTTGTTGCTTTTCCCTTACTCCTTTTAATATTCTTTGGTTTTGTTTAGTCTTTGTTAGTTTGATTAATATGTGCCTTGATGTGTTTCTCCTTGAGTTTATCCTGTATGGGACTCTTTGTGCCTCTTGGACTTGGTTGGATATTTCCTTTTCCATGTTGGGGAATTTTTCAACTATAATTCTTTCAAAAATTTTCTCATACCCTTTCTTTTTTCTTCTTCTGAGACCCCTATAATTCGAATGTTGGTGTGTTTGCTATTGTCCCAGAGGTCTCTAAGATTATCCTAAGTTCTTTTCATTCTTTCACTTTATTCTGCTCTTCAGTAGTTATTTCCACCATTTTATCTTCCACCTCACTGATTGCTCTTCTACTTCAGATATTCTGCTACTGATTCTTTTTAGAGTATTTTTAATTTCGATAATGTGTTGTTTGTCTCTGTATGTTTATTGTTTAATTCGTCTATGTCTTTGTTAATTGACTCTTGCATTTTCTTCATTTTGTTTTCAAGGTTTTTGATCATCTTTACTATCATTATTCTAAATTATTTTTCAGGTAATTTCCCTATTTCCTCTTCATTTATTTGAACTTCTGTGTATCTAGCTTGTTCCTTCATTTGTGTAGTATTTCTCTGCCTTTTCTTTATTTTAAAGTTATTGTGTTTGAGGTATCCTTTTCCCAGGCTGCAAAGTTGACTTCTTTCTTCCTTTTGGTTTCTGCCCTCCTAAGTTTGGTCCAGTGGTTTGTGTATGCTTCTTATAGGGTGAGATTTTTGCTGAGTTTTTGTTTGTTTGTTTGTTTTTTTGTTTTTCCCCTGATTGGCAAGGCTGAGTGAGGTGGTAATCCTGTCTGCTGATGACTGGGTTTGTATTTTTTTGTTTGTTTGTTGTTTAGATGAGGTGTCCTGCACAGGGTGCTACTTGTGGTTGGATGATGCTGGGTCTTTTATTCAAGTGGTTTCCTTTGTGTGAGTTCTCACTATTTGATATTTATGGGGTCACAAAGAGTTGGACATGACTGAGCAACTGAACTGAACTGGGGGTTAGTTCTCCTGTAGTCTAGGGTCTTGGAGTCAGTACTTCCATTCCAAAGGCTCAGGGCTTGATCTATTTATTAAATGATATTCCTTTCACCTGTGATGTCTTACTCTATTCCTGTTTCCTGAGGGAACAGATAGCAGGATATAGTCCAACAATGGTCAGAAACACTGTCTTCAATAAGGTAAGACTGGGTGCTGACAGAAGGAGACTTTAGAAAATCTGTGTCTGAACCAGGTCTCAGGATCTTCTTAGTTCTCATAGTCCCATCCTCTCTTCAGTCTTCATATTTCTTTGTTATAAATTGTACATTAAAGTTCTTCTCTGCAATACTCCAATGATTGCTGTCAGACTATCAGGCTGTGAGGAAGTGTAACACCTGCTCAGTTTGGAGACATGGGTCTTGGAGACATGGCCATTTGAGAAGTACTGTAATAGTTAGAAGATAAATTCTTCTTTTTCTGGAACTCTTTTGCTAGTGACTTGATTATTCAACTTTGGCATTTCCTTCAAATGGTAGGATAAAAACAGGACACCTATCCAGCACACAGGTCAATGCATCAGTCTATACACATCAACATCTGCTTCCTTTTGACATTTATATCCTCCAAGTGGCAGGTGGCCTAAACAAGATGACTGTCAAGCCATTTTCCTATCTATCATCTTTGATTTTAAAAGCTACACAGAATCACTGGAAACATGCTGTACTATTCAACAAATATTGTAGGGGCATTTGGGTAATCATTTGGAAAGTAAAGTTAGATACTGTCTTCACGCATTGTAAAATAAAATAATTTCTAGGTGGGATAAATATCAAGTTGTAAAAATGTATACATAAGGAAATAAGAAGCATATATGGGGTATGTTTACATAACTGTAGTACAAGGAAGGATTTTTTGATCATGACGCCGAAGTCACAAACCATATAGGAAAAAAGCTGGTATATCTGACAACAGAAAAATTACAAGCAAAAGTTGTGACTGTTGAAAACTCCATAAACAAACTTAGAAGATAAAAATAAATTAGAAAATATAGTGTTACTATCCATATCAATAGAATTTTTTAAAAAGCCAGTGCAAATTGTCTCTATCATAGATGCAAAAAGAAAACCCACTATATATTATATAATTCCACTTATATGATATGCCCAGAAAAGACAAATTTATATAGTCAGAAATCAGATCAGTTTTTGCCTAGGTTTTGAGGTGGGAGGGGATATGGACTGAAAACGGTCTCACAGAAATTTTTTGAAGTGATAAAAGCATTCTATAATTGGATTTTACTTTTTTGAAGTCATAAAAATATTCTAAAATTGGACTTTAGTGATTATTCTGAAAGTTAATTTTAGAAATAGGGATGAATGTACAACTGCATATAATTTACTAAAAATCATGGAGAAGGAAATGGCAACCCACTTCAGCATTCTTGCTTGGAGAATCCCATGGAGAGAGGAGCTTGGTGGGCTTCAGTTCATGGGGTCATAAAGAGTTGGACATGACAGAGCAACTAAACCAAACCATTGAATTCTACTTTTGTGACGGATGAAATCTACTCTTTGTAAATTAAACCTTAATAAAAGTGCTCATAACGGTGTCAGGAGAGGACTGTTTCTGTATTTGAAATCAAACGGAAAATTCTTCTCATGGACAAATGGTATAATTACATATTATTATTTGAATTCTTTTTTTTTTCTTATTCATTCACACATTTGTTCTTTTTTTCATTTATTTTTATTAGTTGGAGGCTAATCACTTTACAATATTGTAGTGTATTTGAATTCTTATTTAGGGAAACACTAAGAAGTATTATAAAGATGATCTAGCCTAACTCCCTTATTTTGTGGATAAGAAAACTAAAGCCTGATGAATTAAATAGTTTGCCTGAAGTCAAATAATCAGCTAGTAGAAGATCTAGGACTTGCACCCAAGTTGCCCAGCTACTAGCCTGTTGTTTATCACATTATGCCATATGGTCTTTCGTTACAATGCTCTAACTTAAACTGACTGAAATTCCAAAAATTTGAAATAACCATGTACTATAATCTATGGATTGTTGTAATAGCAAATATTTTCTAAGCATGGGAGATCTTTATTGTGGTAGATCAGTTTTACTTTTTGTGATGATGATGTAGGAGACTGCTTAGGTGGAAGCATTAAAAATCAAAAAGATAAAATACAAATGTTGGTGAAAAAAGGGTTAGAGTCATTAGGAAAAACAGTATGAAAATTCCTTAAAAGATTAATAATGATTTTTTTCTATTTAAATTTTTCATTTAAATCCAACAATCCCTCTTCTGGGTATATATCCAAAGGAAATGAAACTAGTACCTCAAAGAGGTATATATGCACTTCCATGTTCATTGCAGTATTAGTCACAGTAGCCAAGGTATGGAAGCAAGCAAGTGTCCATAGACAGATGAATGGATAAAGAAACTGTGGTATATACATACACTGGAATATTATTCATTCTTTTAGTTTTTAAAAAATTCTGCCATTTGCAAGTGCTTGGATGAACCTAAAGGGCATTATACTAACTGAAATAAGCCAAATACAGGAAGAAAAATACTGCATTATCTCACTTATATGTGGAATCAAATAATTCAAATATATAGAAGCAGAGTAGAATGGTAGGTACCAGGGTGGGGACATGGGGAAAATGGGGAAATTTTGGTCAAAGGGTGGAAACTTTCAATTACATAGGGTAAGTTTAGGTAACTAATATAGAGCATGATGACAATAATTAACAATATAGTTGACCTTTGAACAACATGAGGGTTAGGGTCATGGAAGCCCTGTCACAGTTAAAAATCCAAATATAACTTTGACTTTTCCAAAACTAAACTACTAATAGCCTACTGTTGACTTACCAATAGCATAAACAATTGATTAACACATATTTTGTATGTTTTACATATATTACATATATTTTATGTATTCATGACATACCTTTTTCTTTTTTGATATTTCTAGGCCACATGGTTTGTCTGCAGGTTTTTCCAAATTGTTGCAAATCTCCAACATTTTTTCCAGTGTATTATTGAAAGTGAACCAGTGCAGTTCAAACCCATGTTGTTCAAGGATCAACTATATGTCTTATATTGTATGCTGGAAATTTGCTTTGGGAGTAGATTTCAGGTGCTCTCATTACATACACAGACAAAAAGGTAACTATGTGAAGAGATAGATATGTTAATTAGCTTGATCATAGTAATCATTTATGTATATATATTTATATCTAAACTTGTACACTTTAAATATATATGACTATTATTTTAAAATATAAAAATAAATAAAATATGTCTATTTAACCAAATGTTTTGATGACTTTAGATTTGAAGCACAATAAACTGAAAAACAAGTAAAAATGCATCAAATACACAAAAGATATCATTAGGAGGTGCAGCATATAAAATACCTTGAGAACTTCCTTCAGACAAACAGATGGATACTTCATCGTTTCTGTCATTATCCTCTCCTACTTCAGGACCAGCTTCCTCTCCTGATGTGAGTGCAGACAAAGAACCATATTCAGGCTGCTCAGAAAAATCAGCAGGGCCTCCTCTTGGAGGTGGAACTTCAATCCCCATTAAACGATATTTCCTTCTTCGATTCCCAATCCATGTCTTTATGAGAGAAATACAAGAGGAAGTTTTGTAAAAATAGAAACCTTAGCAGTTCTACCATTAAAATACTGAATGGATGCTGTGTAAAATATGATTGTAAAGAATAAATAGGTACTGAGAAAAATGCAGCTTTATTATTACTCAATAAACTAAAATATAAATGTTTCTATTTTAAAAGTTTTATTATCTTAATAATAAGACTTTCAAGCAACATGCAGCCCATTGCAGAACACTTTTTTGCTTTTGTTTTCTTTGTGGAGAAAATAACCCACCAAATATTTCAAAAGAAACATGAACTGATTCTTTCCCAAAAGGGACCAGGCATGCAGCTCTAACTATATTTCATATCCTAATTCCAATCTCGATCTTCCTAGGTGAAAATGTGCTTTCTAGTAATTTTGCTTGGCTCCATGATGATTACCTGAGTTTTTAAAGTATTCTAATGTCCCATTTTATTAGATTTAGAACCAATTTCTAAAACTTGTTATATTAAAGTAAGTTTGGAGTTACAGGAAGTTACAAAAATTGGTCTTCATTCTATTTTCTTTTATTTTCTTTTTTAAAATTTTTAAATGCTTATATTTGTTTTTCAGTGTGAGAATTTGGGAGGGGATATAAAAATAGTTAAAACTTTTCATTTGGTTTTATATATATATATTTTCATTTATTTTTATTAGTTCGAGACTAATTACTTCACAATATTTCAGTGGGTTTTGTCATACATTGACATGAATCAGCCATGGAGTTACAGCATTTTACATAATTATAGTACCATAACAGAAAATGGAAATTGATATTGCACAATATGTGTTGAAAATTTTATGTTCTTTTATCATACCATTCTTCTTCTCCTTTCTGCTATCTTCAACTTCTGACAACCATCAATGGATTTTCCACATCTATAATTGTGTCATTTTGAGAATGTTATATAAATAAAGTCATACAGCATGTGACTGCAAAAAATTTCAAAAAATTGGATTTCTCATTCAGCATAATTTCCTGGAAATTTATTCAAGTTACATGTACTAATAGTCAATTTATTTTTATTGCTAAGAAGTCTTTCATGATACAGTTTCTTTCCTTTTCTTTGCAGTGTTTGTTTAACCCTTCACTTGTTGGAGGACACTTGATTCCAATTTTTAGCTGTTATATACAGCCATAAAACTCCTATGAACAGTTTTGTACAGGTTTTTGTGCTGATGTAAGTTTTCATTTCTCTAGCATAAATGCCAAATAATGAAATTTCTGGGTCAAATTGTAATTATATGTTTAATTTTAAAAGAAACTGCCAAATGGTTTCCATAAAAGTTGTACCATTTTACATTCTTACCAGTAATGATTGAGAGATTCAGTTTCTTGGTGTTCTTGCTAGGACTTGGTATTATAAGTATTTTTTTTATCTGTTCTCATTTGTGCATATAGTAATGATCATCAAGTTCTTCATTTGGTTCCCAATGGCTAGTAGTATTGATAATATTTTCACATACTTTTTGCTATCCACCTATCAGTGAACTGTCTCTTCAGGTCTTTTGCCCATTTTGTGATAGAGTTGGTCTTTTAGTACTGGGGTGTGAGAATACTTTATATATTCAGATATGAATTTTTGTCAGATATGTGATTTTGAAAATTTTCTTCCATTTTGTAGCAGATATGAGTTCTTTGCCAAATATGGGGCTTGCAAATATTTTCTCCTTGTCTGTAGCTTGTATTTTCACCATTCTGGTCTTTTGTAGCACAAAAGTTTTTTTTTTTTTCAATTTTGATTAAGTTGAAGCTATTGCTTTTATTCTTTTATGGGTTGTGCTTTTAGTACCATTCCTAAGAATTTTTCACCAAGTTGTATCAATACGTAATTTTTTATGGTTTTATTTCTCACATTTAAATCCCTGGTCCATTATGAATTCATTTTTGTCTAAGGTGTGAGTTTTAGGTCTAAGGTAATTTACATTTTCCAATAGTAATACAGATGTTCCAGAACATTTCTTGAAAAGACTTCCTCCACTGAATTGCTTTTGCATCTTTGTCAAAATTAGCTAAGCTGACCATGGTTGTGCAGGAATATTTCTGGATTCTCTATTCTGTTCCAATGATCTATACATCTATCACCCTGTTAACACAGTCTTGATTACTGTACTTATATAATAAGTCTTGAAATTAGAAATGAATTTCTTCCCCTTATTTTTTTTTCCAGAACTGTTTTGGCTATACTAGCATATTTCTTTTCCATATGACTTTTAAAGATATCTTGTCTACATCAACACAAAATCTTGCTGGAATTTTATAGGAATTATGTTAAAACTGAATAACAATTTGAGAGGACTTGACATCTCTACCATGTTGGGTCTTCCGGTATGTGCACACAGAATGTCTCTCCATTTACTTAGAATTGCTTTTATTCCTTTCATCGGTGTTTTGTAGTTTTCAGCATTTAAGTCCTGTACATGATTTGTTGGAGTTACATGTATTTGATTTTTTGAGTGATTGCAAAGAATGTACCTTAGATTTCAGCTTGTGTTCATTTTTAACTATACAGACATACAATTGATTTTTATATGATGATCTTGTATCCAGAGACATTGGTGAATTCACTTATTAGTTGTAGGAATGTTTTATTTCTTTAGGACTTTCTAAACAGACAATCATGTATCTTTTATTTATTTTTCTTGATTTATTGTACTGGTTAGAACTTCCAGTATGATAATAAAAGTGGCCAGAGTGGACATCTTGTTTCTGGTCTCAGGGGAAAGCTTCTGTTTTTCACCATTAAAATGTGATGCTAGCTGTAGGTTTTGAGTGCTTGTAGATTTATTTTGGGGGGAGATTTTTTAATGATGAATTTAATTTCTTAATAGTAATAGGGCAACATAAATGTCCATCAATAGATGAATGGATAAAGAAATGTGGTATATATACATATAAACAATATAATATTACTCAGCAATAAAAAAGAATGAAATAATGCCTGGATCTGGAGATTAGCATACTAAGTGAAGCAAATTAGACAAAGACAAATGTCATATGATATCACTTAAATGTGGAATATAAAAAAAATTATACAGATTACAGATGAACTTATTCACAAAATAGAAATAGACTCACGGACACAGAAAACAAACTTATTACCAAAGGGAATAGTGGGATGGAGGGGAGAGATAAATTTATGAGTTTAGGATTAACATGCACACACTACTACATATAAAATAAATAACAAACAAGAACCTACTATATAGCACAGAAAATTATAGCAAGTATCTTGCAATAATGTATAATGGAAAAGAATCTGAATAATATGTGTGTATCAGTTCAGTTCAGTTTAGTCGCTCAGACACAAAGAGTTGTGTCCGACTCTTTGTGACCCCATGAATCGCAGCACGCCAGGCCTCCCTATCCATCACCAACTCCTGGAGTTTACTCAAACTCATGTCCATCGAGTCAGTGATGCCATCCAGCCATCTCATCCTCTGTCGTCCCCTTCTCCTCCTGCCCCCAATCTCTCCCAGCATCAGGGTCCTTTCCAATGAGTTAACTCTTCTCATGAGGTGGCCAAAGTATTGGAGTTTCAGCTTCAGCATCAGTCCTTCCAATGAACACCCAGGACTGATCTCCTTTAGGATATATATATGCATATATGTGTGTGTATATATGGTTTCCCTGGTGGTGCAGATGGTAAAGAATCCTCATGCCATGCGGGAGACCTGGGTTTGGTCCCTGGTTCGGGAAGATCCTCTGGAGAAGGGAATGACCATCCATCCAGTATTCTTACCTAGTGAATCCCATGGACAAAGGAGCCTGGTGAGCTACATACAGTCCATGGTCGCAAAGAGTCAGACATGACTGAGCAACTAACATGTGCACACACACACATACACACACATACATATACATACATATATAAAACTGTATCACTTTGCTGTACATCTGAAACTAACACGTGGTAAATAAACTATAATTCAATTAAAAATGGTTAACAATCAATAATTGAATAGGGCTTCCATGATGACTCAGTGGTAAAGAACCTGCCTGCCAATGCAGGAGGTGCAGGTTCGATCCCTGGATCAGGAAGCGTCCCTAGAGAAGGAAATGGTAACCCTCTCCAGTATTCTTGTCTGAGAAATCCCATGGAAAGAAGAGACTGGTGGTCTACAATACATGGGGTTGCAAAAGGTCAGACATGACTTAGTGACTAAACAACTAAGAAAATTATGTAGAAAATTATGTCTACCCCAACATTTTTTGAAAGCAGTGATCTAAAACCAATTTTATACTCAAGTTTCTCATGTAATTTTCAAAAAGCTCATAACCTTTATGTTTTTTGTTATGATACCCTACAAAGAATAACTGCCATGCCAATCTACAAAGTAAAATAATTCTTAAAATCTGTTTATTTTCTTTGAATGTAGAAAGTCACTCAATAGCATTTCATAATTTCAGGTCTAAATTTGATTGTGGTACCCTTTCTTTGTATAACAAATAGAATTTCTTCTATATCACAAGGTTTACACAAATACAAAAGAACCTTAGATGTAAGGATCTACATTATTTATCAAATGTAAATAAAAATTGTGAATAAAGTTAACTTTTACTTGATAAAATTTTGTAAAACAAAATGCAAGGCAAAACAGAAGATCTATTCAGTTAATCCAAGAAGATTAATTCTTTATATATTTGGGTGTACATTTTCTCTTCATATTCTAGGGAATGTAGTGTCTTTGACATATTTAGCATTCCATGCTAAATGTGAAACCTGAAACACATGGATTGCTTTGTAGACTACCAAGTGAAAACTACCTGGTAGAAAAGAAAAATATTCATGAATATTAATTTTGCTAGCTTTGGTAACTTCTCCCAAGGAAAAAGTACTAGTTTAAAGAGTATAGTTCTGTTTCAATTTTCCTTCACATGGTCTCAATGAGAATAAACTATTAGACTTCAGAAAAAGTAAAGAATTTCAACTTCTTACTAAAGCTCCAATAAACTGTCAGGTACTTTATCTATTTTCT